TAGTGGAAGGGGGAGGAGGAGTAGTGGAAGGGGGGAAGGGGGGTTGAGTACTGGTAAGTGTTAACATACGTCATTTCCTGTGTTGTGACGTCATGGCGTTAAACTAAAACCCCTATAATTAACCTAAAGACGAGACAGTCATTCTTCCGTGTTCTTGAAGTGAGGTGTGGCAGCTTCCCTCCATTCATCCACGAGCCAATGAAAATCAAGTTCCTTCTGTACCGACGTTGTTATTGGGTATCTTGGAGGAACACATATCACTCAGGCGACCTTTTGGTGAGTGGCAATGAACGATGTATCTTAATTAACCAGGTAAGAGGCGTCAGGTGTTTCAGGTGAGGTTAATTGAGTTGTTGATCTGAGAAGCAAGAGGGTAAGAGAGATAGAGTAATGAAGGAAGGAAGGAAGGAAGGAAGGAAGGATGGAAGGATGGAAGGATGGAAGGAAGGAAGGAAGGAAGGAAGGAAGGAAGTAATTTGTGTAATTTGGTGTAAGCGAAGAGAGAATATAAAGATAAAAACAACAAGACAAAACAAACAAAGAGAAATAGAACAACAGAAAAGAGGAGAGAGGAGAAGAGAAGAATAAGCAACATGTGATAAAAACTTAAGAATAAAGAATAAGAACTTAAGTCAGAGCAATAGTAGACAATGTTGTAAATTAAACCACGACCAAACTCATATTTGGGCTATGTTGTGTGTCTTTGTTTAGAGGCACTGAGGAACCAAAACAGAGAGAAGAATAAACGAGTAAGCGAAGATAAATTAAAGATATACAGAGAAATATGATAATTTTTTAGCTCTAGTTCCTGGTGCTGGAGAGATCTCAATCCAACACCCTTGCGTTAGTTGAAGTCCACCTCCTCTCCTACCCCTCACCTCTACTTCTTATAACGAAGAGAAGAACAATAAATGAGAATAAAAAAAGAAAATAACCAGAAGATAAAACAAAAGAGATATACTAAGCGCCATGTTGTTATGAGGCAGAAGAACAATCAAACGAAAGCAAGAATGAAATGACTCAGTGTGTGTGTGGAGACGAAAGGGAAAGTGTAAACAGAGGGATAAGGAAGAGGAATCGTGAGTGAAGGTGGGCAATGAAGGTGTACAGGTAAAACACACAGTCACACATCACACCTGTACGTGATCTATCAAGGTGAGCAAGAGGAGACAGACAGACAGACAGATAGACAGAGGTGTGTGCAGAATGTGGGAGAGAGAAAAGGATAAAGATGGTTATAGGAGAGATTTTGATGAATGATGAGAGGAGAAAACGTAGAGTGTGAAAGATACATTCTCCTCCCTCAATCTCCCTCAATTTCTGTCTACCTCTGTCAGTCTCCCTCCACCTCCCTCCACCACCCTCCATAAACAGTCATCTCCCTCCCTCCCTGTCCCTCACTCCATCATTTACCTCCCTCTACCTTCACCCTCTATGACACAATAGGCGGGCCAGACCAGAGGGCGGGGCACTGTCCTTCCCAACCCTAATAAGGAGAGAAAGAGAAACCTTCCCTTTACACTACCCACAAAAAATAAAGATAAATAATGAATGAATAACAAATGACATAAGAGAGAAAGAAATGAAGAAGAAGAGGACAGAAGAGAGATAATGAAAAGATAAATAGATAGATGAAATAGAAGAAATTAAATGAATAATAATCCCACAGGTAGAGACAGGTGTTCAGGTTGGCGGTGGGGAGTAGGAGCGGGATCTTTTTCTTTTACCTTGAACTAGAAATTCACGTCAAAAGCAGATTGGTCTTGGCTACCCTGCCCTCCTCGTCTCCCCTGTCTGCCCCCTGCCCCCCCCTGTCTGCCCCTGCCCCCCCCTGTCTGCCCCCTGCCTGCCCCTGTTTGCCCCCTACCCCTCCCCTGTTTGTTCCCTGCCCCCTACCGCCCCTGTTTGCCCCATGCCTCCCTGCCTGCCCCAGGGTGATGTGTGGTCGCCCTGCTGGTTCTCACTTTTCATCCTCCACCTTCTCCTCCCTCTCTCCTCCTCCTCCCATCCTCCTCCTCCCTCCTCCTCCCTCCTCCCTCCTCCTCCCACCTCCTCCCTCCCTCCTCCTCCCTCCTCCACCTCCTCCTGCCCCCCCCCCCGTCCTCTTGCCCAGCTGTCCTGTGTATTAAGACCAAGGTTAAGACAAGAGTGAACATACAAGCTCACTTTCTGCGCCTCCTCCAGACTGATCATCCCGACGCCAGGCCCAGTCAGGCTTAACTGAGAATATGGCATCAACCTTATGTACCTGTGTTTGTACCTGTGTTTGTACCTGTGTTTGTACCTGTGTTTGTACTTGTGTTTGTACCTGTGTTTGTACCTGTGTTTGCACCTGTGTCTGTATCTGACTGTACCTGTACTTGTAAAACCTACCACCATAAGTATAGCAACAACCACAATCACAACCAATATGACCACAACCACCACCACCAAAGCTACAAACAATACAACAGCAACAACCACCACAACAACGACTACTATCAACCATAACCACAACAAACACAATATCACCCACAAACACTACAACCACAATCATAAGCACTACAACAACAATCAACCACAACAAACGACAACCATAAACACTACAACAACAATCAACCACAACCATAAAAAACAATAACCACCACAACCACCACAACCACAACAACCACCACCACCATAAACAACAACAACCAGCGGGCAGGGTGTGGCAGTGACAATGACACAGGCCCTCCCCCCTCCCCCCCTCCCTACCCCCTACCCCCCTCCCCCACTAATCTCCTTTTACCAGCGGGGGAAAAAAAACTTCCCTAACAAGGCTGGGCAGGGAAAAAAATTGGCTCTCTTGGATACAGTGGCGGAGAAGAATGGAATATTAACGTTGGTTCGACTCCCGCTAGACGATTAACCTGTTACTGGGTGGGGTCTGAGAGAGAGTAGTGAGGAGGGGGTGGGAAATGAGAAGAGGGTGGGAGTAGAAAGAAGGGAAAAGGGTAGCAGGGTGAGCGAGAGGGAGATAGGAGGGGGTATTGGAGGAGGGAGTAGGGAGGGAGGGGAGGGGGGTGGTAGGAGAAGGGAGGGGGAAGGATAGGGGGAGGTTTTATATGGGTTAATGAACTAGCTTTAGCGGCGTCAGTAGCTCTATGTGTACTCACTCACTCACTCACTTACTCTCTCACTCACTCACTCACTCACTCTCTCACTCTCTCACTCACTCACTCACTCACTCACTCACTCACTCACGCAGAAACATATCAATGGCTAACTTATTCACTCGCAGATAAATAAAATTTGATTGTTAATAATAATAATAATAATAATAATAATAATAATAATAATAATAACAATAACAAGAAGAAGAAGAAGGAGAAGAAGTAGAAGAAGAAGGAGAAGAAGAAGAAGAAGAAGAAGAAGAAGAAGAAGAAGAAGAAGAAGAAGAAGAAGAAGAAGAAGAAGCTCAATAATAAACTGATCTAATAATAAATCAGTAATTGGAAGAACTTAAAACAATTACCTGACATAAACAGCTTCAATAAATTATCTTTTTACAACAAGTTTTTCTCAATTAATGTAAGATTGGTTTGTTTGTGTGTGTGTGTGTGTGTGTGTGTGTGTGTGTGTGTGTGTGTGTGTGTGTTTAACTAAGGTAGAGTCTTAGAGCAGTGTCGAAATCATAGTCAGACAGACATACAGACACACACACACACACATAGTCCATATTTTAAAAAAAAGCCTAAATTACTCATATATTTTTTACCTGTTGTTCAGAATAGCTCGACTCACCTGACCTACAGTAATGAGAACAAATATACAGGTAGATATATAAAAAGTATCACCTTATGTAGAAATCAAGACGTTATAACACTGTATATAAGGACCCAAGTACTTCAATCCACTACAAAAACAAAAGAGAAGCGATTTAGGTTATATTTGGTAGAATTTGATAGTGTTATTGTTATTTAGGTGTTTTTGTAGCTACAGTACATAGCCGTCTGTAGTAACCAGGTCCTTAGAGCCTACTGGATGGGTTTATTTATCTTTTATTTAGTCAACTACAGTATATAATGACCTTACGATGATGTTAACCCCTTGAGTACGATGATGTTAACCCCTTGAGTACGATGATGTTAACCCCTTGAGTACGATGATGTTAACCCCTTGAGTACGATGATGTTAACCCCTTGAGTACGATGATGTTAAAACCTCTGGACTACGATAAATTAACCTCCTGAGTAGCATAAGTACTCAAGGGAGAAATAATCGTACTCGAAGGATTATTATCAATGTACTCAAGAGGTTAATAAAGGTATTGTGTAGAAAGTTCGTCTTAACTCACCTAAAGAAATCTGTTTTTAACCTGTGTTTTTCTATATTAAATCTTAAAAGTGGTATTGTAATATATTAAAGTCTAGTAATTGATGCTGTATAACAACCACAACAACAACAACAACAACAACAACAATAACAATTACAACAACAACAACAAACACAACAATAACAATAACAACAACAATAACATCACTACACTTTGACCTTTAAACTTGCAGTCTCACTCTTCATAAAACACTACTGGAGTGACCTTCCTTGTGAGGTGGAGAGGAGAGGAGGAGGGGGAGGAGGAAGAGGAGAAGGAGGAGGAGGAGGAGGATGGCCGATAGGGAGGGGTTGAGATAAAGAAGGGAGGGAGAGAGTGGGAAGGATAAGTAAAGAGGAAAGGGAAATGGAGGAGGGGATGGAAGGAGGTGAGGGGGAGAGGAGAAAGGAAAGGGAGGGAAGGGAAGAAGTAGAGGAGGAAAGGAAGGAAGGAAGGAGAGAGATGGATAAAAGGGGGAAGGAAAAGGAAAGAGGGAAGGGGAGGGAAGGGAGGGAGAGCCGCATATGGACAAAGAACCACACCCAAACAAGCTCCACCAGGGACCCCCCCAAAAAAAAAATTAACTCTGTCAAGGTGAGGTTTAGCTCGCTCTCCCTTGCCTAGTCCTTATACCCTCTCTGGTCCAGCTACGCCAGACGAATGACCGCCACTCCTCCTTCTGCCTGCCCTGGTGTTCCCTCATAGTATAGGAAGATCACCCACCGTCTCCCCTACCTCCCTACACTTAACCCTCACACACTACAAGTTAATTAAAAGTTAGGTCTATCGTCACTATTTCTATATCATTATCATCAATGTTTCTATATTTTTCACTATATTTTATTTTGTATATAAATTTTTTTTTCAAATCGATATTTTTTATTTTTTGCTTTTTTTTTTATTTCATCGGCTATTTTTTTTCTTAATACTTTTTTCTTACCTTCGCTCTCTTTATTTTCTTGGCTATGATTTTTATTTATCTTACCACTTACCCAAATCAGCTCATGACGTTAGAGCCTTAATGGACCAATCAGATGCCAAGAATCAGTCTGGTAAAACAAGGACCAATCACACGCCAGGAAATTGAAACTAGATATATTTATTGATCATTTAAATCCACAGGAAGAGATAACAGGTTACTCCCCACTCCCACTCCCATTCCCCACTCCACTCCCACTCCCCGAGGTTCAAGGTATTAATACAGCGCCATCTTTTAATTTTTTTTTCGGTTTAATATCACTCGCCATGACTGTAACTCGTCATGACTGTAATATCACTCGCCATTACTGTAGTTCGTCATGACTGTCACTTCCGGTAGCTTCCACTTCTTCCTCCAGTTAGTTGTATAGTTACAGTTCATTATTATCTTCCTCGCCTTCTTCAGCCATCTCCCCTCCTCCCTTCTTCAGTTCCTCAGCGTGTGACTCTTATCATTCAAGACCCCAAGCCGAGGTGTCGTCTGCAACTCATCTCTTCCTCCTGTTATCATTCTCTGCACTAAGTCTTCCTCTCGTTCCGTCCACCAACCTGCTGAAGTGGATTTGTTTCGTCATTAGAAACTCAAGATCAGGTGAGTTGGTGTTCCTTCGGGCCAAATTAGCGTCTCTCAGGTGTTTTCTCTCAGTCTCTCTTCACCCGTCTCTGTGTTTTCCTCTCCATCTCTTCCTTCAATGGGTCTGTTTATCAATGTCTGTGTATCATTTCATAGTTATCAGTTATATTCACTTAAACCCACAATATATACACAACTCCACGACCAATGAGAGGCGGGAAACGGCTATGACGTTAAAATGATGTCACGCAGCTAAAGATCCCCTAGTGACCTCGACCATGAGAGGGAATCACCTCTATGTGATAAAAAACATTCTGCCCCTAAATATTAAGAGTTTTATCGGTTATTATGACATCCTGTGTTCATAATGTACAGTTACAGAAGTTCATTAGCCTTAAAACAGCTAAACACAGGCACCAGCTGTCACTATTACTTTGATTGGATTCCCGTTTTCTATGTTCCAGGCGAGAAGTGACGTTAAAACACCAATGGACCAATCGGACATCCCGTAGTCTGGTGAGGCTTGACATCATGGCATTAACAGACCAATCACACACCCCGTCGCCAAAGTTTCGGTGTGACGTCCAAACATCAATGGACCAATCAGACGCCCCGTAGCCTAGTGGAGAAGTTGGTGAGGGAGGCACAGCGGCTGCGGACATCAGATGTACGCTTAGGGCCTGAGGTGGTGAGGGTGAGCGTCATATTGGACCACATACTAGGCGTCCTCAGCACACGACGACCTGCAGCGACACACACACAGGGTTAGTACTGAAGGAGGAGGAGCAGCTGTAGATGTGATGAAGGAAGATTGAGGCGTTGAAGGAGGAAAGGGGAAATAGGGACGTAAATGGTGGAGAAGTATTAATAAAGATACGAAAGGAGACATAGCATAAAATAAGTGAAAATAGACAAAATAGGGGTAGAAAGAGAAAGAGAGAGAGAGATAGAGATAAAAAGATAGATAGGGAGATACAAAGAGATAGGATAAAAATAGAATAAGAAGATATAAAATAACAAATGAGAATCACAAACAAGACAATAAAAGTTTGTCCTCTCTCTCTCTCTCTCTCTCTCTCTCTCTCTCTCTCTCTCTCTCACCTGAGGCATCAGTAGGGAGAGCACAGTTACTTCCTCTCCTCTTGGTGCAGCGGCTGACGTTGGAACCCATCAGGAATCTCAGGTACCCAGCAGGTGAATCAGGTACCCAGCAGGTGAATCAGGTGCCCAACAGGTGAATCAGGTGCCCAGTAGGTGAATCAGGTGCCTAAAAATAAAAAATAAATAGATACAGCAAGACAACAACAATAACAAACTCGGGTCAGCTGATCGAGTTGCCAATAGGTAAACAAATGACGTAATCCATGACCCTATCTGGAAGGCCTTATCAACAGTGGAAAGTTCAAGGCAAAATCAAACCTCTTGTTAGGGGCGGTAGAGGCTAAAGTTGTGTGTAAATGGAAGATGAGAGATTACGTTTGATCATTAGACTGTGTGTGTGTGTGGGAGAGACCGACAGACACACAGACACGTAACCGGAACTCTCTATCCTCGAGGTGGCAATAAATTACTGTGATAATAACGGCAGTAGGAGATAATTACACGTTAATTACACTCTACTGATAACAATCTCTGACACACACACACACACACACCTCTAGATGCCACTCCTGATAGGCACTCCCCCACCCCCCCAGAAGTACCCAGAGGAGTGACTGTACAGTACATGTAAGTTGTGGCACTGTTGGCACTTATGACACCTGTGGCACCTATAACACCTGTGGCACCTATAACACCTGTGGTATTTAGAGCAGTTATAGCATTTAAAGCAAGAATTGACACATGACGCAGAGAGAAATGACACAATGAGGTTATGACACCTTTGGAGTCATTGGCACAAGACACATGACACTCTGGGGACACACACACACACACACACACACACACACTCCTTTTTCATTCGTTAACTCACCGTTTATTTCTTTTCCTCACGTCTCTGTTTATTGTCCTCTGTTGTCCTTCATTTTCACTGCAACATCGTGGTTAATGTCTTGGTTGTCATGGTTGAGTTTGTGGTTGTCTTGGTGATACTCTTTTTTCCTCTCCTTTGTCCTGTTTGTCTTTTCCTAGTGTTTATAAGAGGTAGGATCTCGGGTTGTCCTAGGACCTAGAGAGAGAGAGAGAGTTGTCCTGACTACACACGGAGTTTCTAGAGCTCAGACCAGGTGAGACAGGTACTTGATGCTACAGGAGACCAGGTGAGACAGGTACTTGATGCTACAGGAGACCAGGTGAGACAGGTACTTGATGCTACAGGAGACCAGGTGAGACAGGTACTTGATGCTACAGGAGACCAGGTGAGACAGGTACTTGATGCTACAGGAGACCAGGTGAGACAGGTGATGATAGTGAAGTAATGGCAGGTAATATGAGGGGCTCCTTCCCGGTGAAAGACGCACGCACCTGTGAGGGGGGAGGGGGGGGGGCGCAGGGAGGTGATGCATGCAAATGAGGAATAGGGTAAGAGGAGGGTGAAGGAAGGGGAGAAGGAGGAAGAGGTGGGAGGGTAGGGGAAGAGGAGAGTTGGAGGATGAAGAAAGAGTAGAAGATAAGACAAGTGAAGATAAGGAAGGAGAGTGTAGGTGGGGAGAGGAGAAGGAGAAAGAGGGGGAGGAGAAGGATTAAGGAAGAGGGAAATAAAGTAGGAATCCACCCTATCCTATCGCCTTACTCGATCCTCCCCTCCTTCGAAACGTTTCCCTCCCTTATCCTTACTCAGTCCCCTTCCCTCCCTTCCCTCCCTTCCCTTCCTTTCCCTCCACTCAATCCCCCTCCCAACAATCCTTTCCCATCCTTCCCTTCACTCCACCACCCTCCTTCCCTCCCTCCCATCCTTCCCACCACTCACTCCTCCCTACTCCTACTCTCCCTTCATGACTCACACACCAATTACCTTCACGATATTGTTTACTTCGGCCCAAAATAGTCTCCGTGTTATGAATTCAGTATTGACATTTGCGTGTTTCGCCTCCATTACGCCTCACGCACACGACACAAACAATAACATTAACTAAACGACTCCCTTGTTGGTGTAAGAATAGTAAGGTAAAAGATAAGGTTAATTACGGTATATTTTATTCAGTGTTGAGTTTATATTTTTAGCTACAGCGACACACCCCCGCCCCCCCCCCCCTTTCCCTTCGTGGTGGATGGATGTCATATTCAGGTCAGGTCAATGTGAGAGGTGCTTGTGTGTGGGTAGGTTTGGTTTGGCTGGGGTAAGTTAGGTTTGGTTAAGTTAGGGATCGAAAATTGACACACACACACATACACACAGAGGAGTGAGAGTTGAAGGGTTAAACAAGCCCATTTTCATCAATTCAATAGTTAGGAACCATTCCGAGTTGTCACCAGCCCTTCCCCATCCCAGTTCCCCCCCCTTCCCAGGAGCCGTGTTGACAGTCAGGTACAGAAGCTCGTGTGAGGAAGACCTATTGCAATACTCCTAGAGTCTGTTTACCCGTACAAGGAGGAACTCACTATTGAGCCATGACGAATCAGTTCATAAAGGTGAGGTTTATTTACCATTATTTATTATTATTTATCCAGGTGAAGAAATTTTGATGTAAAATGATGAAAGGGGAATAATTTAAACATGTGACGTTATTAAGCGATATTCTAGAAGCAGTATTAAGAATTTTGTTAATAATGTTAGAGACCGGGTCCCTCTCCTCTTGACCTCAGGGTAAATACATGAGGCCCCTTCAGTAGTTACCTGGCTGCTGTTAATGAGTGTGATGGTAAATGTGTGAGACATTACCTCAGGTGGTGACATTAAATATTTGTGTAGTATTTCTAGGGTAGTGCCAACGCCCCTCAGCCCTTGGACCACATAGTGAAAGGTCGCTGGCTTTGTGATCCTGTCCCTAGTTGGGGGCTGGTGACCCTACCTCACCCCTGCCTCCCTGGCCCCCCCTCCCTCCCTGCCCCCTGCCTTGACCTCTCCTACGTCCACCCCCTACCCCATTCATCCCCCCCTTCCTTCACTCCTCCTTCTTCCACCTCTTCCCTCCTTCCTCCAATCCTCCTGTTTCCACCCACCCCTCCTTCCACCTCTCTCCTCCACCCTTTCCATCATCCCCCCACCTCCTCCACACCACCCCCCACCACAGAGGCACATCACCACACCAAGCGTTTACATCACCACACTCTTACACCGTCTTATCTGCACATGGACTTGACCCTCAGGTTTTGTGGCATCCCAGTGCGGCACTTTTACTGACCCTCCACCTTCTAAGAGGCGTTTGCGTCACCTCTGGGCACGGTGGGGGGCACGATGGGGGGCAGGGGAGCCTTAGTGTTAGATAACCATGGGCCACACGTGACAGCCAATTCGATAGTAGAGAGTTTGAAAGACGTAAATCACTCCTTGTAGGTGATTTATAAAGGAAGATTTTCTTATATTAGAGCTAGCACTATGGCAAGCTAGCTCTCTCTCTCTCTCTCTCTCTCTCTCTCTCTCTCTCTCTCTCTCTCTCTCTTTCTCCGGGTTGCGTCATCGTACTCAAGGGGGTTAAAAGTGAAACTGGAACAGACTCAACAGGTTTAGTGTTCCATAATAATTGGCAGGATGATAGACACTCAGACACCCAAGTATTATGTTCCGTCTCATGAGGCTTATATTATTATGTTTGTCTGTGGTAGATCTAATAGCAGCAAATTAACGGTTTATTGAAAGAGCTTGGCAGCCAGAAGGCTGAAAATTTACAGTTACATATTTGGGTAATGGGTTACGAATTACAAATAATATACAAGTTACATAAGTGACACAAATAAGACATATAATAACTTAGATGGGGATCAGCTCAAACTACAGTTCATTTCAACATAGTGACAGTGTAAGGAGCAGTGTTTACCGGGAGTGAATACACTGAATTATTACATGTTATTGATTATTTTTACAATGGTTGGGACTGGGCTGTTCTTATTGCGATTAGTTCGTGCACGTATGGGCTGGATGCGGTTGTGGTGTCGAACAGCAATTCTCGGACAGGGGATGTCAGGTGGTAGTAGGCGCCGGTGTCGGGGATGGTGTAGAAGCTTCTTACCAAATTTGTAGATGAGGTCGTGGTGATGGTCAGCGAGAGTCGAAAGGGTCAGTGTGTTGAGCGCTTCTTGATATGTGGAGTAGGAAGGAAGATAATCATGTGTGTGTGTGTGTCATCAAGTCTTCCATGGGAAATTTTAAAAGACACTACAACACTTTGGTGCAATTTTTTTTCTATTATAGAAAACGTAATGCTATTTTCCATTTTCTTCGATGTATTACCAGTCAAAAAATAAATAATAATAATAATAATAATAATAATAATAATAATAATATGATGATGATAATAATAGTAATAATATTGATAATAATAATAATAATAATAATAATAATAATAATAATAATACACAGTGACCAGATTAGAAAACAAATTATATTAAGTTACCAAGAATTAGTGCCTTAAAACATGACCATGCAAGGAGGGTTAGGTTAGGTTAGGATCCATTCATTTGCTTGTAAAAAATCAATGAATACTTGAGTACTTTTGTTCCTTGTATTGTTCCTTTCATAGAGCAACACACACACACACACACACACACATCTACACCAGTTACTCCTTGAAACAGACCATAGAAAACTTAACAATATTTCCCGTTTTCTTTGAAGTATAAATATTCGGCCTTGACCTTTTACCAAGATATCTGCCTCAGGTGAAACCAGTTTTTCATCTGATGGCGAGAGAGAGATAGAAAGAAAGAATAAAAGGAATGAAAGAAAGGCAAAGAAAACAAAGAGAGAGTTAAAAAGTGAAAGAGAAAATGGGAAAATAAGTAATAGCGAGAGAGAATGGGAGTAACAAAATAATAAATAATTAAAAGAGAGACAAATAAAGAAAAATTAGTCAGAAAAGAGGAAAGGAAAGAGAAAGACACAAATGCTAAGAGAGAGAGAGAGAGAGAGAGAGAGAGAGAGAGAGAGAGAGAGAGAGACTAAATTAAAGGCGTTAGAGTGAAAGTTTACTTAAATACCACCACACTTTCTCTACATCTCTCTGTGTAGGTCACCGAGCAGGTAATGTTGTTAAGAGGCCCCCCTTCCCCCCCTGGTCTACTAATTAGGGGGAGGAGGAGCAGGTGAACCAGTCATTATTCTCAGGTAAAAAAAATCATTTGTAGGTCAATATAGTAAAAAAAAAAGTTAATAATAATAATAATAATAATAATAATAATAATAATAATAATAATAGCGGTAATAACAAAATCAACAACAGCAACAAAAATAACAACAATAACAGCAACAATACAAAACCTGCTGCACCACCTTGACTTCAGTTATAACAAAGAAGAATAATTAGTGTTCATTCATTGTTCTCTCACCTTGTTCTGTGCATGTTTATTATCCCTGATTGAACTTCTGTGTTAGTCTGTCAGTCTGTCCTTATTTGAGCTTATTATCCCCCGCAGCTTCGGCCAGAAAGTTGTTAAACATACCTACTGATTTTAATAGACTGAACACTAATAGATATATGTATTTCAGATCATTTAAGAGAAACATCGTACGCCTGGCAGTGAAGTGTAACACGAAGCAGTCCAACTCAGAGATGCCTGAGTGTCGTCCCAAGTTGTTGTACGCCACTAAGTCCGGATTGGTGGTGAGGGAAGGTACGGATATTCAATGTCTCATGAGGGAAGGTACGGCTTAATATTGTGGTATGTGGGATATTTAATGTCTCATGAGGGAAGGTACGGCTGAATATTGTGGTATGAGGGATATTTAATGCCTCATGAGGGAAGGTACGGCTTAATATTGTGGTATGAGGGATATTTAATGCCTCATGAGGGAAGGTACGGCTTAATATTGTGGTATGTGGGATATTTAATGCCTCATGAGGGAAGGTACGGCTTAATATTGTGGTATGAGGGATATTTAATGCCTCATGAGGGAAGGTACGGCTGAATATTGTGGTATGATGGATATTTAATGCCTCATGAGGGAAGGTACGGCTGAATATTGTGGTATGAGGGATATTTAATGCCTCATGAGGGAAGGAACGGCTGAATATTGTGGTATGAGGGATATTTAATGTCTCATGAGGGAAGGTATTGTGTGTACGACATTTCACATCTATGAGTCACGACAGTTCCGGGAGAGAACAAAAGGTCGTATTTATTCAGTGTTCAAAAGTTGCGTGTTGTGAACTTATTGAACGTGGCTTTATGACCCTGTAAAAGAACAACAATAACAATAACAACAGCAAAAACAATAACAACAACAAAAAACAATAACAAAAACAACAACAAAACCAGAACAATAGCAAAACAACAACAACTTGACAAAATTTGTTTAATATTGGGATTCAGAAGACAAACAAAAACAAGATAACGTGCGGAACAAATCCATCAGTTAAGTCAGAAAAGGCAGGATTGGTGCTGAGAAAACGTAGACTCAACAACACCGAGATGTATAAAGTGTAAGGGAGGGAAGGAGGGAAGGAAGGAGGGAAACAAGAAGGAAGGGAGGGAAGGAGGG